CTCAAGCCACCGAGGGAAAGGCCTCACCCCTCTCCCACCACCTGTGAAATAAAAATAACAGCAACAAATAATAATACTGGTGACCACAGTCCTAACAGGAACCAATCCAGACTCCTCTCCCTGGCTCCACGAGGAACCCTGGGCATGCCCCTGTCCCTCTCTTGTCCTCAGTTTCCCCATCTGTTTAATGGAAATGGTGATAATAACAAGGGCACCACCAGCTTAGATGAACAATTTTGCATTTCAGGATTCCCACTTGCTGGGGCTTTCTCCACCCCTCCCTGGGTCTCAGTTTCCCTACCTGTAGAATGGGGAGGTTAGACTCAATGTTCCCCCAAAGGCTTCTCTCATCCTAACACCCTCGCCCGTGAGCCAATGAGGGCCAAAGAGAAGTAAGGTGGCACCTCTGGCCCTGACCTCTGAGAAGAGAACAATGCCTGGGCCTGCTCCTCAGTCCTCACCGGCTCCTTCTGACGGGCCCACGGGGAGGCCAAGGCACTGCTGGTTCCAGTCCAATCACTCAGTCAACAAACACTTCCTGGGCACCAGGCCCAGTGCTGGGTGCTGGGCATACAGCAGTGAGCAAGGTAGCCATGGCCTGTGTCTCATGTAAAAGTGCCCACCCCACCCCACACCCATCTGTGTGTGTCTCTGAGGAAAGGAGAAGAAAATGCAGATTTGCTGAGTGCCTACTATGTGCCAGATGCTCTGCTAGTCGTGTTTCTGAACTTTGCAGACCATGAAAGGCCTAAAAGGCTGTGCTAGGAAAGGGAACTTCAACGCGAGGGCAGCTTGAACAGCTAGGACTGTTTCAGGAAGCTTGATTAGAGCCATGGAGTGGAGGATGGCTTGGTGAGAAAGACCCAGGAAAGGGTTCCTACTGCCTCTGGGTCTCCACGAGGGAGGCCGAAAGCCTGAGAGCACAAGGAATCCAGCTATAGTGTTGGGCGCCAGGCACTGGGGCTGGCAGCTATTTGGGGACAGGATGGCACCATGGCTCCATCTAAGTCAGGCAGACCCTGCGGGGTGGGAGGTACAGACCTGAGGAAGCCATGCAGAAGAGGCGGATGCCTTCCAAACCCTGAGATGCAAGGTGACCCGAACCCATCACCAGCTGGTGCATCGCCCGGCATCTGCCCAGGGAATGTCCATGCTGGTGGATGTGGGGCCTTAGTCATTTCATCTGTGATTTAGGAAAAACTACTTCTTTCTAACACCTGCCCCAGCTCCAGGACCTGGGATCCAGGTCAAGTAGGAGGCCAAAACAGGAAGTCCTGCCCCTCCTGGTTCCTCATTGGTGAGGATACCTGTCTATCAGGAATTTTAGCCCATCCTTGGGTAACCACCTACCTAGAGATTGGATTCTGAAGGACTCGTAGCTCAAGCCTATAATTGGATCCCTCTCTAAAAAGAGGCAGAGAGGGGATTTTAATGCCTTTCTATTGGTCAACAGTCACTTTTTTTTTTCAGGTCAGGCTTGAGGCCCCCAGGGTGCTAGTGGGATTCCGTCACTAATGTTCTCCTGAGGGAAGAAATATGGGCTCCTAAGACCAGTGGTCAGCTCACACTGGGGGCAAGATGGGGGTCCCACCTCCAGGCTGCAGGGATATCCAGGGGGAAGGGTGGCCTGTGGACGGGACTCTGAGCCTCCCTCCCAAGGGAGCGCCAAGGACAAATCCCTCCTTGTGTGTCTGTCCTCGGTGACCCTCTCTGGGCCAGCCTTGCCCTGCTCCCCTCAGGTTGATCAGACAACCAGAGCTTTCTCTGGCCTCAGACCCGTTCGCATGTGTGAGTCATTTCCCCTCCCGGCCTCACTCAGTTCCCCTCACTGTGCCCTGTCCCCTGCACACACCAGGACTGTTCCCACCTTGGAGCCTTTGCATATGCTGTTCCCTTTGCCTGGACACCCTCTCCTGTGCCACTTGGGCAACGCCTGCTCCTTACCCAGGTCCCAGCTCACTGTCACTTCCTCTAGGAAACCTTCGCAGGTCCGATTCATCTCCCTGTCCCCAGCACCTCCCAACCAGGAACCTGGCACCGAGCAGGCAGGAGTGCCCACCTGGCCGCTTCTCTCTCTCCTTCGCTCACCTGCAGTTCTTTTTGCTTCGTCCAGTTGCAGCTGAGCGGGTGTTCCAGGACTGCGCAGAGATCCAGAGCTTTGGGGCCAATACTAGTGGCATCTACACCATCCATGTGGCCAATATGACAGAGCCCAGAAAGGTTAGGGGGCTCTCGGGGGGCTGGGGCTATCAGAGGCACTGAGCCAAGGGCTTCACAGACAAATTCTCCTCCCTCATCAGCTGCATGCCTGTCCAACATATTAGATTCCTAAGAAGGTGGGTGGTCCTTCCTTCTGGAAAAGAAGGGGTTCACACAGAAGTTCCCAAGTTGGAAGTGCATCCTTCTCCTGCATCTTCTCCAGAGATGCCTTTAAGTCGGAATCACAGGAAATAGTTCTATGTTGGTTAAGGTACTGCTAGCTGATGTAACAAACAACCCCTGGAATTCCAGGATCTTAACACAAAGTTTATTTCTAGTTGACATATAGTCCGTGGAGGCAGGAGTGGGGGCTCTCTGCACCACTGGGAAGTTAGGGACTGTCTTCAATGAGTGGCCCCCAAGGTTGCCCTGAGCTTTGAGATCCAGTTATCAGATGGGATGGGGGATGGGGGGGAATCAAGGGAAGTGTGGAGGTGAGGAGGGAGGGCGTGGGGCCAGGCCCAGTAGGGGAAGGGTATGAGGAACAGTTTGCCAGTCTTCACACTTCATACTCCCCTTCTCCATATCAAGGAGAGCCCTTCTGAATATATCGAGGAGAGTGGCTCCGTTTGCTTCCAGATTGTCCTTAACACACCTGCCAGAGCCCCCTTTTAGCAAAGAAAGACCAGACTCTCCATTTCTAGCTAGAATTTCATAACACATTTTTTTCATTATATTTATTTTAAATGAATCTGAACAAAGACAAGTGTTATTAGTTTTCCACTTATGGTCCTGATAAGAAGTCCTTTTAAAGTAAACCTTCTATATGAAATTAAATAAATTGAGCTTTGGTGGAATTTGGGAAGGTGTGAATGGCTGAAATTTGGGCAGAGGGAAGAGCTGGCCTGGGAGGCAAGAGATCTGTGCTCAAATCTCAGCTTTACCTTAGACTCACTTGCTTCGAGCAAATCCCTTCCCCTCTCTGGGTCTCAGTTTTCCTCCCTGCACCCTCTGTTATTCTCACAACGATGCCACCGTCTTCTCTCACTGAGCAGGCCTTTACCATCTCAGAGCCTCTACTCCTGCTGCTCCTTCCACTGAAAATGCCAAGCTCATCTCTACCTGACAGGCACATTATCAACCAAGGCCCTGTTCCAATGCCACCTCCTCTGGGAAGCCTTCCAGGATTTTCCAGTGACTCCCTTTTGAGGGCTCTCCTTGTAGCTGCCCAAATGTTTGTCATCAGTAGTCTGCCTGCACTATCCTAGCCTCCTCCAAACCAAGTCAGATGACAAACTGAGGGCCAGTGTGCATCTGATCTGTCTCTGACTCTCTGACCCAGGGCCAGGCACCAAGTTTGTCTTCACTGAACAATGAGCATGTAATGAACTGGAAAAAAATAATATGTGAACAAAGGTTAGACTGAACGGTGTGATTGTCATAGATGGTAAGCATTTTGAGAGACAGAGCTCTTTCTGTCTTACCCATATTGGCATCCAGTGCTTTGAATGGAGTCCGGCCCATAGGACGTGTTCAGAAAACATTTGTCCACTGAATGGCATAGCATTTCTTGAGTCTATACGGTGTGCCAAGCACTGTACACTCATCAGCACTTAATCCTTACAGCAGCTCAGCAACAATAGCGAGTGAAAAGCCTGCATTTATTTAGTTCCTAGTGCGTGCGAGGCTCTGTTCTGTAGATGATTCATCTCATTTAATTCTCACAACTACCCCAGTTTGCAGACGAGAAACTGAGATGCCAGGAGGTTAAGGTATTAATAGCCCATTTTACAAATGAGGAAAGGAGGGCTCTGAGAGGGCATCACTTGCCCTCTAGAAAAATAATGACAATGAGAGGGGAATTTGAACCTGGGTCATTCTGACGCCCTTGACCACAGGCTCACCTGTTGTTATGTGAGGTTCTGTTGGCCAGATCACGCTTGAGCTGGCCCGCACAGCTGGTATCTGGCTGCCTCCGCGGACTCCCAACCCCCTTCCCCACCAATTCCCTCAGGTTTTCTGTGACATGGAAGCCAATGGAGGTGGGTGGACCCTCATTCAGCGCCGTGCGAATGGCAGCGTGAATTTTCAGCGGAACTGGAAAGATTATAAGCAGGTAACGTTGCTGCCCTGAGGAGGGCGTTTCAGCTCTGAAACCTGGGATGGGAGGCGGGTTGTGGACAGGGGAATGGTTTGTCCTTAACCCTTCCTAAACTAAAAAAATCAGCCCACCCCAAACCAACCACCTTCAAACAAACTTTCCCGGTGCACATTCACTTTCAGGGATTCTATTCTCTAAATTTAGACCTTCTTTCTGCAAGTTCTGACATATATCAAATAATGAAACTTCGACTTCTTTTTGTTTTAAATTTTAGAAAAGATGACGTATGTACAGTGCTAAAAAAAATTGAATACTACAAAGAAAGGGAACATGAAAACAGCAATCTCTCTCCCGCACTCCTGGCTGCATTGCTTAAGTGAATTTCCTTGTCCTTGTACGCATAGGTGACCACATCTGCAGGAGAGAATCTGTAATGTGGAATTGCTGGCTCAAAAACCAGGTGCATTTTACAAGATAAGAAATAGAGCTCAATTGTCTTCCAATTTTTAAAATTAAATTATGAATAAAGGATTTCTGGCAGGCTGGCTGAAAAGCTCTTCTACTTTTCAAAAGCAAAAGAAATGGACAAAGACCCACAAGGAAACACAACAATATTATTTTTTGTGCCAGCTTGCTGTCCGTTTGATAAGTGCTTAAATACCAAATTAAGCTATGAGTGTTCTTGAGTCTATTTGATTTGAAACAGTCATTAAAATAGCAAAGCTATACAGGGTGCTCAAATCCAGAAATACAGAAGAGAGTGCTGCAGATTAACCATTACACGAATCAGCTGCACAGCAGGGCTAAAGTGGGGAGTGGGGCTTAGGTGCGCCTTGTCCTTGGTGCTGAATTAGTGTTCTAGCTGAGGACGTTGATTTCTTGTCACCCTAGAAACCCGTGACTCCCTTTTCTTTACATGTCTATGTTGCTGGAATTTTGTAGTTGCTTCCATGTCACTGAACAAAGTTTGCTCTATCATTTTTGCAGTTGATTTAAAATCATTAATTTTTAAATTGAAACTTAACCTAGATGCACTAAGTGCACAAACCTTAAGTGTAAAAGTCAGTGCATGTTTACATAGGTACTCGTCCATGTGACCACCATTCAGATATAGATATAGGACACCTCCAGCACCCCGGAAGTCCTCCGTGGGCTCCCCCCTCCGCCCCAGTCAGTACTCGCCCAAAGGAAGTTGCTATTCTGACTTCTATTAACACAGATTAGTTTGACCTGTTCTTAAACTTAATAGAACGTGATTCAATTGTTTTAACAGACTTTTATAGTTGCAAAAGTCTTCGTTTTTTTGCTCTAGAAGTTGGGGAGCTGCCCTCTCCCCAGTTCTGCCCACACTGTACTTTATGAACTTGAGCATTAGGCCAAGTGGTTTTGAATAAGTGACCCCAGGCCCTGGCCCAGCCCCGCCCCTCAGCCTGGGGCATAGCCTCCCTCCTTGGCATACAGCCCACCCTGTCCTTCCTCCCCTCCTAGGGCTTCGGTGACCTGGCTGGGGAGCACTGGCTGGGCAACGAGTTGGTGCACCATCTCACCAGCAGGGCTGCCTACTCTCTGCGTGTGGAGCTGCAAGACTGGGAAGGCAATGAGGCCTATGCCCAATATGAGCGTTTCCAGCTGGGCAGCGAGGGGCAGCTGTACAGGTGGGCTCGGGGCCCAGGCTGGTGGGTGGACTGAGGACCCTGGGCTAGTGGCTGCAGAGTCTGCACCAACCGTCAGTCCCTGGGCGTTTCCTGTTCCTACCATCTGTCCCCCATTTGGGCGCACGTCACGGGATGTGGAGGCGGCTGGTTAGCACTCAGCACATCCCAGCCACTGGGTGGGGTGGAGACTGTTGCTGAGCTGTCATCTCGTGAGCAGGAAGGGCCGTCCAAGGTCAATCACCCTAAGGCAGTCACTGTACAGAGGCTCAGACTTCCCAGCGTGCCCTGTGCTACGGGATGAGACGGAAAGGTCCCTGGGCTGGGAATCGGGGACCTGGACTCATTCTGCCTCCAATTCACTTTGAGAGCTTGGATGAATCAAGGTTCTGGCTTCTCTGCACCTCTGCTTTTTAACAACAGGATGGGCTTGAATATGAGCATATTATAAAACCATCGAGGCCTCCCTCCGTCAGCCTGGTTCTTGGCTCTGTTTAGGAAAAGGAATGAGCATTTATTGGGCACCTGCCATGTTCCAAGCACATTACTCTAGTTAACCTCCCACAACACTCTGAGGTAAGCATGGCTGTACCTCTTTGAGTGATGTGGAAACTGAGGCACTGAGGTGATGCCTGTAAGGGGTGGGCATTCTCCAAGAGAGAATAGGAAGGACATCCCAGGCAGTGGGGACGTTTGAAAAGGACAAAGAGAGAGTTGACATTTGTTGGCCACAGACACCTGAAGCCTGAGCAAGGCTCTTTCCAAGTCTGCTGACATCTCCCAAGGGGGACACACACACCAGGGAGCGTCCCCACTCATTCAGGAAAAGGTTAGGAGACCGGGGTGGAGATCCTGGGAAGCATAGTGGGGCCTGAAACTGCCAAAGGAGGGCCAGGAGGAAAGTGACAGGGCAGACACTGGTCCCTGTGCCACCACCAGACAGGATCGGCCAGCTGGTAAGGTTGGGAGGATGCCTGTAGGAAAGTCCAGAGGCAGCAATGTGTTGGCAGTCAGCAGCTGAGGCATGGGCATCAGGGGCAGGAGGGACACCCTTATTTGTCAGTCACAATAATGGGGGCTTCTGGAGTCCAGCTGGGGCACATGCACAACCCTAAGGAGAAAGTGGCCCATGGGGAGGGGAGGGAAGAGGCACAGACAAGACACCAAGCGCACACACACAGACACTCGGCACACGCCTCCCAGAGGCACTCACCGCCCAGGCCTGACTATAAGAAAGACAGGCATTCACACGTGCAGGGGCTCACCACACCCCTGGGGTACATGCAGAGCGCAATATCACACAAGTGCATAGCTACACAAACAGGCACAGACACACCCGGACACGCGTGCAAATGTCCCCCCACAGAAGCCCTCACAGGTAAACATGCACAACCCCAGGCACAAAGGCAGATTCCCAAGCACACCCTGGACCCACAATAGATATTCTAGCACAAACTCAACACACACACACACACACACACACACGCACACGCACACACACGCACACACGCGCACACGCTAGACTGGAAGGTGGTATCACACTACAGACATATAGACCGGTATGCGGATCCATAGACACATGGAAGACACACCTGACGTTTCTAACTCGGGGATCCCCAGAGACTCGTGTCTTCGTTTGGGTTCCCCAGGACTGAGCTATGAACATATTCAAAGTGCATCTGAACAGCAGGTCAAGTGGGGTTTCCTGGTCCATGACTGGGGGTCCCCCAGAGATCACAGATCCCTAGGCTGGCTTCCAAAGGGGAGAGGAAGTGAGGCAGAGGACTTGGGGACAGGAGAGAGGCCAGTCCAGTGCGGATTCCACACAGCCCCAGACTGTAGCCTGTGCCCAGAGCCTGGCTTGGAGCTGACATCGCTGAGCCCTCAGTGGCCACAAGGAACTGCCAGGACCATGTTAGCAAGTGGATCCGCCTGCTTGTCCCCAGCCTGGGAGCCCCTGGCCAGACAGGCCTCTTGCCAGGGCCAGTTGGCAACACCAGTCGACTGAGCCCCAGGTGGCATGTTTAAGGGCACAGAGCCTCACGGCCGGCCACAGTGATCTGGGCCCTGAGGACCATGTGCCTGCCTCGCCGCAGACAGAGCCTGGGGTGGGAGGTGCAGGGACTGAGCCAAGCCGTATGCTCTGGCCCCACGTTCCTCCTGGGCCCCATGGGGAACAGCTCCAGGCCTGCCCTGCAGACCCAGAGTCCCTGAGCTGCCCTGGCCGCATCTGGCATCCACCTGCCTTCACCTGGAGGGCCTTCTTTATTGCTCCCAAACTGGGTTCCTGTCTCCGTGGCCAGTGCAGCCCCTTCCCTGCTACCAGAACCCAGCACTCCAACCAGGCCCAGTGGGAGCCTGTGCCAGCTGCGTGCCAAGGGCCAGGAGCACAGGGGCAAACAGCGAGCAGCGTTACCTTGCTGAGCATTTATCACGGGCCAGCGCCGCTCTGCACCCATCACATCCTGAAGTCATCAAATCACAATAGCCGATCGGCACTGTGAACACTATCATTACTACCTTAAACAGATCATTACCACCTTAACAGATGAAGAAAAGGAAGCTGAGAGGCACAGCAGTCTGCCCACTGGGTCGTGCAACTGGCCAGTGGTGGAGCTGAGACTCCCAGCCTGGCAGAGAAATAGAGACCCTCCCCCTCCGGCTGCAGAGGTGGAAGTCATAGGGATACGGGTTCACCAGGCACAGGTCCAGGTGGGCAGGTGTGGTCAGGGAAGGCCTCCTGGAGGAGGTGGGTGGGTGTGAGGAGGTATGATGGGCTGGGGTTGCCCATGGTCAGCGGGGAAGGAAAATGCACGTAGCTCCAGGCCAGGCCCCCCTGGGCTGGGATCTGGCTCCCACCCTTCATTCTGAAACCCTAGGCCGGCTCCTCTGGTTCAAGGAAACAAGGACCTTTGTTTCCTCATCTGTAGACTGGAAATACTTGAGTTTTGTGAGGATGAAACGGATGAGTTAAACCATGTAAAGTGTTTTTGAACAATGCCTGGCACATGGTAGATTTTTTTAAAAACGTTAGCCATTGCCCTCACTGTTACTGTTGTCATGATCATGCCACTCCTGTGTAAGATTCAGTTCATCGAGTCGAGGGAGGCCTGGCACACAGTGGGTGCTTGGTGCCTGAGAGGCAGCAGGCAGGGAGTGCGAATCCAGGAGGGAGGTGGCTGGAGCTCCCCGCCCCCAGAACAACCAGCTCAGAGCCCCTTCCTCAACCAGCCCCAACCTGACTCTGCGCCCTTCTCCCACCACCACCTCCGGGTGGCTTCCAGGCTTTCTCTGAGCGGGTACAGTGGCTCGGCGGGGCCCCAGAGCAGCCTGGCCCTGGAGGGCACCAACTTCAGCACCCGAGACGCAGACAACGACAACTGCCTGTGCAAGTGCGCCCAGATGCTGTCCGGAGGTGGGTGCGGCATTCGGGGAAGCCCATCCACCCACCAGTGGGAGACGAGGGACCCCCTGAGACACAGAGCCAGGGACAGGTGGAGACCGAGGGAAACTGGCACAGAGACAGAGTGGTGGCAACAGAGAGCCACACAGGGGCAGAGGTACAAAGGAGAGATGGAGGGAGAAATGCAAATCAGGGCAAGAGAAAGGAACACAGTGTGTGAGAGACAGAGAGAGCCAGAAAGGCAGAGAGGGTGGCCATCAGAGAGAGGAGCCCGGCTTGAGAGAGACCCACAGAGTGACAGACAAGCACAGAGACCATCAGAGAGAGAAAGAGACAACCCCAGGGTGTTGGAGAGTAAGGTAACAGAGAGCATTGTCCCCACAGAGAGAGGGAGATGGGAACTTTTGCGAGAGGAGGTGAGGGAGGGAGACAGGGACACAGAGGGATTAGGGACAAGGTGAAGGGATGAGGGGCCGAGCGTGACAACTGGAGCCCAATGCCACCCTCCTGGGGCCCCAGGCTGGGCAGAGGGTCTGCGAGTCACGCTCCCACCCCCATAGCCATTCCACCAGCCCCATCCCGGGAGCTGACTTCCTGAAGGAGGCAAAGGCCTGCTTAGTCTTTGAGGTAGGGGGCTGCCCTCACCCCCCTGGTGAGCACCCAGCTCCCAAAGCCTCTTCCTCCCCTCCCCTAGGGTGGTGGTTTGACGCCTGTGGCCTCTCAAACCTGAACGGCATCTACTACCCAGCTGGCCGCCACCTGCGCAAGCTCAACGGCATCCGCTGGCACTACTTCCAGGGCCCCAGCTACTCGCTGCGGGCCACTCGCATGATGGTGCGTCCCATCGGCACCTAACAGCAGCCTCGCGCACAGGCTGGGCCACAGGAGGAGACGGGACTTGCTATGCCCTGGGCAAGCTGGGCTCCAGCACAGGACACGGTGCCAGGGCCTGGACACCTGGATCTCCCGAGCCAGCCCTCCTCGCCCCACGAGTCCCCAAGAGTCAGCTGCCTTGCTTCCCTGTTGTCCTCAAGTTGTGACATGGGGGGCGTTTAGGGGTTCCTCTCTCTGCAGGACCCCTCTTTTCTCCAGTCTTCTGCAGGGACCCCTGCCAACCTGAGGGTCACAATACCCTGAATGAGCTGAGAACAGACACCTTGGCTCCTCCAAGGAACGCCTGGCTAGGGGGGGAATTTCAGGCAGGTGGGAGGGTAGCTGCAGGCAGGAAAGTGCTCAGATGGAGCCCCAGATTCTAGCCCCAGAGTTGGTGGGAAGGCCAGCGCCTGTCCCAAGCCTTCTCAGCCTTGAGCTGTCCTTGAACTGTCCCAGGCTGAAAGGCCTGCGTCTACCCCATAACAGGAATCATTATTTCTACCCCACACGGCCCATCACTCCCGGCCCCAGCATCTGGAACTCAACCCTGGTCTCTCAAGCGTTCCAGGAGATCTAACAGAGATATCTTTACCCTCAGCAGGTTCCAGAATATGTTCCACAGAGAATAACTCACACTCCCTCTCAAAGTACCTCTGGTCAAGTGAGAGAGGAGAGCGCCAGGTTAAGTCAATGACGACAGGCATTCCTAGCTGCAGGACTTGTCAGAGCGTGTAATGTGGTCATGTACTTTGTGACTGCCCGTGAAAGGGCTAGGGTGGGCAGCTTTCTCCATGTGCTTATTCGAAAATGGGCTCTGCTTCTCCCGGAGCATCTCTCGGTGCGGTGGATGCCTCTGGAAAAAGCTAGTCCTCACGTGTCATGAGGAGGAGCCCCAGGGCGCCATCTCCCACCCCCAGCGACTCATCCTTTCTGGCTGCAAACGCCACAGTGAAGGCCTCACGTAGTCTCTAAAACAATTGGAAAGAAATGTTGGATTAAAACAGACACACTCCATCCCTGAGTTTCCTGTCTGCTATGGGCCAGTGATCTCCCAGGCTCCTTTTGGCCCCAGGAAGCCAGCTCTCTGCCTAGGGCTGCCCTCGGCACTCCCTGTAAGCCCAGCTCACCCTCGCTCAAGTACAGGCACTGCCAGGGACTGTCCACACTGCCGTGGGCAGGACACCCATCTGCAGGTCCAGCTACTCCCAGGTCTAAGCCGGAACCCCTAGCCCTCTCCTGCCCCATCCAACATGATGTTACAGCTGGGGGTCTGGGAGACCAAGGACTCCTCATGAGCTTCTGTCAGAGGACAAGGTCAGAGAGGAGCCTCTGCCATCCCCCCTTCACTGTGTCACCCTCTTCAGTCCCAATGAGGCCTACTGTGTGCAGTGTGGTACCGTGGGCAGGGCTGGGAGTTGGACAGACCTGCTCCAGCTCTTTGGACTTGAGGCCTGTGGCTCAGCCTCTTGTAGCCTCAATTATCTTGTCTGTGAAATGGAGGTGATGGCCCTCACTCCTGTCTGAGCTGGGGCAAGGAGGCGATGAGACCCTGTATGTCAACTTCTGACCAGAGCCTGGTATGAAGCAGGTGCCTAATAAATATTAGTTCCCAAAGAGGTGAATGGGGTGAGAAATTGCCTCTAGTGTATGTCATCCCTGCTGCTGGACCCAGTAGGGTGAGCATGTATTACTGTATCCACAGCATTTATTTGTGTACTGCTATGTGCTGGAGCGGAGTGGAGGGCGGAGCTGGGAGCCTCAGGGACAGACTCCTCTGCATGGGGTGAAGGCCCAAATTCCTGTCTGCACCCCCGTTCTCTAAAAGGTCAAAAAGCTGGTTTGGTTACCCTCAGACACTTGTTTTTTGTTTGTTTGTTGTTTTGTTTTTTAAATATATTTTTATTGATTTCAGAGAGGAAAGGAGAGGGAGAGAGAGATAGAAACATCATTGATGAGAGAGAATCATTAATTGGCTGCCTCCTGCACGCCCCCCACTGGGGATCTAGCCTGCAACCCACCCAGGCATGTGCCCTGACCAGAAATTGAACTTTTACCATATACATCCTGGCTCCACTTTAAATGGGGTTCCTTTTGTTTAAAAATATATTTTATTGATTGATTTCAGAGAGGGAGGAAGGGAGAGGTAATGAGAGATAGAAATATCAATGAGGAGAGGAATCATTGATCAGCTGCCTCCTGCACGCCCCCCACTGGGGATGGAGCACACAACCCAGGCAGGTGCCCTTGACCAGAATCAAACCTGGGACCCTTCAGTCTGCAGGCTGACACTCTATCCATTGATCCAGACCGGCTAGGGCCAGACACTTGTTTTTAAATAGTCACCCTTCCCTCTCACCTTCCTTCCCCCTCCAAGCCAGGACTCTCCAGTGCAGGGCATAGAAACCTCCCAAGGGATGGATTGGCTCACATAACAAGTCTAGAAGTGGATTCAGGTGTGGTTAGATCCAGGCGCTCAAATGATGTCCCTCTTCACCTCCCGGTTCTGCCATCTGCCATGTTGCCTTCATTCCCAGCCATGTTCGGTCCTGACAGGAAGGCCCCACCAGCTGGCTCACGTCCTCCCAGCTCGGCATCTCTGAGACAGAGAGCTGCTCTGTCCCAGCGAGGGCAGGATTCTCTCAAGCCAGGACTGGTCCTGTGCCCATTCCTGCACTTACACTGCGATTCTAATTGACCAGACCTGGGTCACATGATCTTGCCTAGAACCAGGGGTGGGGTCTGTCCCACCTGAGTCACATGGCAGGTGGACAAGCAGTGGGGAAACAGACATTGTTTCAGGAAGCAGCAATGCTGGGAAGGCAAGACCAGTGACCACTTTTTCTCCATCTGTCTCTGACGCCCATCTCTTTTCTCTCCATCTCTGCCTCCCCTCGCATTCTCTCTGACTCCAAGGCCTGGCCCCAGGCTCCAGCTCATGCCCAGGTTGCCCCAGATTATCAAGGACACAGCTGTGTCCTGCTCAGGCAATGTCAGACCCTGGCCCTCTCTGAGCCTCCGTTTCCATCTGTGCAGTCAGGATGGAAGACGTACAGACCTCTAAGAGCCCTCTGACAATGATGCTCATGATGGCTGCACACAGGACCAGCTGAAGGACTCTGGTCAGCACAAAGCCTGTGAGGGACATGGCTGGTGTGGCCTTGGCCCTGCCGGGTCTCCTGGGGGCCACTGCTCTTAGGAACTGGCTTCTGGGATCCCTGCATCTGCAGGCTCCTATGAAGAATCCTTGTCACCTTGCCCTACATCAGACCAGTGTTCTCCTCATTTTTGTGATGAAGAAATTAGAGCTCAGAGAGGGAAAGGATTTCATTAAGGCAGCACAGGCATCCACAAGCTGCCTCCCTCGTCCAGAGCTCTCTGGAGGCATGTTGGCACTGAACATAGAAATGCTGGAGTGGTGTTCCCTCCACCAATATCAAGGACTGAAGGAACTTTCTGGAAAGCTCTCCAAGACCTGTCTGTCTTTCCCACTGGCACCTGGTAGGTCCTGGTGGAGCCAGGCAGACAGAGCACACTGTTCCTGAGATCTCTGCATGTTCCCAGCCACGGCTGGGGGAGAGCTCACTGTGCACACCCCAGAGACGACATCCATGGGCGGGGCAGAAGGTGGCCCTTTGCAGGGGGTGTGGGAGCAGCCGGCATAAGGATAGATCGTCACTTGGGGGATTTGACCCCTTTTTCCAGATTGTCCAGCCCTTGATGTCTGTGTGAGCCTTTACCTCTCCTATTTAAAAATGTTTCAGAACGCGATCAGTGTTGCCGTGGTGACCCTGGCAACAGCATGGTTTGATGGAGCAGCCCTTCAGAGAACACAGTCTGGTCCAGGCCATGTCCAGCTTAAATGTGTTACTTTCTTGTGTTCGACTAATGTGGGAATACACAGCTGATGTTCTCTTGTGGCTTGAGGGCAGGGAAGTCCAAAGGCCTTTAGTTTCTAACACATTCCAGCCCTACCTGGTGAGAACTCTCTGAGCCTCTCTGTCTGTTTGCACAATAAGGAGACTGGGATCTAGCTCACAGGGAAGTCAGGCAAGTTCGATGTATACCCATTCATGCACACCATCATCTATTCACATAGCAGCAATGCACTGAGGATCCAGTGGTCCAGGCCTGGATAGGTGATGTGGATGGAGCAGCAAACAAGATACCTGTCCACAGTTCTATACGCATAGAGCTTAACAGGCTCGAGGGACCGACGCCAAAACCAACTGTTTTTAATTTTAAAACTAAATTAACAAGTTAATATATTGCAAATGAAGACAATAAACAGGAGACAGGTAAAAGATTACAGAGGGCCCAACTTAGGGTGATCAGGGAAAGCCTCTCTGAAGAGATGACACTGAAGTTGAGGACTAATACGGTGAGGAAGAGGCAGCCAGGGGAAGAGCTGTGGAAAGAATAGGCCCACTAGACTCTAGTGACTAGAGGAGCAGCAAGTGCAAAGGTCCTGGGGTAGTCATGAGGAACTACAGGGAGGCCAGCGTGGCCGGAGCAGAGTGAGCAAGGGGGCAGGTGGTGGGAGAATGTGCCCTCTGAGCACCTACATCAGAGACCACCTCCCACCCCAGCACCTGCCCAGGCCTGGATGCAGCCACCACTCTGCCTGAGTCGCACTGGGGCAGACGCAGCCACAGCTCTGGTAGGGGCTGAGGTGGGCAGGGCCTTGGGTGCCATGCTGAGAAGAGGACACAAGAAGATGCAGCCTTAACAGCAGGAAGCCAGTGCCCGAGGGTCGCTCAGAACCCACAGGCTTTCTCCTCCTCCAATATGAATGTGTAACTTTCTCCCTCCAATATGAATGTGTGAACTTTCTCCTCCTCCAATATGAATGTGTAACTTTCTCCCTCCAATATGAATGTGTGAACTTTCTCCTCCTCCAATATGAATGTGTAACTTTCTCCCTCCAATATGAATGTGTGAACTTTCTCCTCCTCCAATATGAATGTGTAACTTTCTCCCTCCAATATGAGTGTGTAAACTTGCGCAAGTTACTTCCCCTTTCAGAACCTGGGTTTTCAGTGCCAATGAAGCAGGAATCTCGATCCCTGTTTTGGCAAGGCTTTAGAGAAAATCTATCCACCATCATGAAAGACCTACTCCAACATGGAAGACCTCTCCAAAAATGATGACCACAGCTATTTTCAGTGCAGCCTGTGCATTTCCGCCCCCCCCCCCC